TTAAGTAGACATCTACAATTTCTCAGATTGTTTGAAGTTAACAGTCACTGTAAATACAACTGTGTACATAGTACACTCTTACTAGTAGAGTGTGCTTGAACACACACACACACACAAGGAAGTGTGTGCCTGGCATGGCATGGCACTTCTTACTGCGTACGCACCACATAGCGTAGCGCTATGGCAAGTGCACACTTCCCAGTGTGTGCTTTCAAGTACACACAAGGAAGAGTGTACTATGTACACAGTTGGGTTTACAGTGTAAACAATGCGCAGTAATAATTTCAACACATTAGATGTCATAGATGGAAAGGAAGCAAGCATTTCATAGTTCCTTAGTTTTCTGTTCAGTTTTTAATCTTTAGAATCAGGTTTGAAAATCTGAGAAATTGCAGGTACATACATACCTATATGAAACCAAATAACTGTTGGACTAGAATGTAAAGTATTTCTTGCATTTTCTTATGAACAAAGTATACCTTGAGCATATGACAGGGTAAAGTTGTGGACAGAATTAAAGAGCCATCAGAAATCAAATCAGCACAATCAGCCTTAAGTAACAGAATAGTTACTTTAGACGTAAACAAATATCTACAAAAGAAGAGCAGTTAAACAGTACTAAGATCATAGCTCAAAACTGTTCAATATGAAAACAAAACAAAGCAAAAATCTCACAATGTCATAAAAAAAAAACATCCATGGTGAACGACAACAACATGTGAAGCATTGACATTAAACAATAAAAAAAAAAAAACAGGAAAAAGTGAGCAACCTTATGTTGGCAAAGAACTTATCCCAAGTAACAGTGGTTTTTTGATATATACATACAGGGTGCCCCACAGGCCTGTCCTTTATTTTGCCTATACTGTACCGCATGCAGACGTGCGGGCGGGCTTTCCAACCGTCGCTCACAGCGGCGCCTTATGGCCCCGTGCGAGTATGCAACCCGGCCGCACGCCTGCATCCAGGACAGCATAAGCAAAATAACGGAAGGGGTCTATAAACCATCCAGTATGATCATATATAAGTGATATTGATACATATTTTTAATTATTGTGGACAGCGTATCATTCACATTATTAAACGAGTCAAATTCAACATAAATTTTGTCCGATCAAAATAAAAGTGACAAAACACTTGTGAAGTTTATTTCCACAATCGAAAAAATGACATGGTGATAAATTAGCGATGATAAAATATTTACATAAATTTGATCTAATTTCTGGTACTTGGGGTAGGACATCTACAGATACAGTACATTACAGTTGGCAAAGCATTTATTTTAACAGACTTTTGGATTGAGATCGTCTTGAAGACACTGATATGTCTAGGTCCTGATTGTCAAAATTTCTCCCATTAACTTTGATGATCAGGTGCAATTGTCTTTTTTTATGAGTAAGGCTACATACTCATGATTTATATTTAGAGATAAAATAGCGAGATTGATTGAAGCAGATTTACTGTCATCTTTTCGGGCTTTGCTGTCATAAATCTACAAATTGAAGCTAGGTGGACAATAAAGCTACTCTTACAAAAAGTACAGTCCTTTGCAGTCACAAATAACACAGTTCCATTCCAAAACTATTAAATCAACTCAAGCACACACAGATTACCACAGACACCACTCACTAATGTAAGTACAAATAATCTTGTATGAGTTTTGATGGCTGGATTATTTGAAAAATTATAAGTCCAATTTCATAACACTAACTGCCTATAGTACACTGGGTATACTCAAATTAATAAAAATTCCCAAGAAAAAATGTTGTAAAAGCAGTATGATAACAAATAGCCACAAATATTAAATATTTGTGGACCCTATTAGCACGTTTCGCATACAAGGTTATTAATGTTACCTTAAATCACAGAGTAGTATACTTAGATATAATTAAGGTAATAACAGATTCAATACAGAGTTCATAAAACTTTAAAGTAAACACTCTAAAATTCATCAAGACACAACAGATGGACTACTTATTGTCACACTTTCTGTGCTACGTCCTGACTCACAATGATAACAGTTTCTTAAAACATGGAGGACAGCTGAGATTCATTGGAACACACATTAGCTGGAAAATCAGATATTTTGGAAGAGGGTCGTGCATGTGGTGTATCGGACACTAAAGGATCATAGAACTATAAAATAAAAGAGTACAGCTGTCACAAGTAAAAGTTGGGAAAGGTTACAAATGTACCTGAATGAAGATTATGCACAAAACCCATTCTCATAATTAACTAAAATATGACATAACGATAATCTCAACAGAATCAGCCTTTTAGAACAAGGCAATAGGTATTCTAGAACAAAAAAGTATACTAAGAAAGAAAATCTGTCATGGTTAAACATGGACTTAAATTGATTACTATATTAAAACAGTCACATAAAAATGCTTACAAAACCACTTCAAAATAAATAAATTTAACACAGTCGACAGAGAGTTCCAACAAGATATTATACCAGGATATATGACCACCATAAAACAATAAAAAGTTCTAGAGTAGGAGAACTTGAATTTTTAACTCCTACCATGTCAATTTCATCATTTAACAAAAGTGTTCAATAAAAGAGTACTATTTACTAATAATGGGAAATTAAGACTCAGTGATAAAACAGTAAACTGTTACTGATATCAGACCGCACAATACTTGTAAGTACTTCAATCTATTTACAAAAGTCATGAAAAATTGATGTGGTTCTGATAGCGAGCAAGCAGATACAACACTGTAACACCAGTTAACATACCAACATTTTGTAAGAATAATGTTTGAACAGCTTTTTGCCAGCTTACTTTGCTTGCTTCTTCCGCAACCTCGTTCATCTCTGGGACCTAAAAAGATTAAGAAATACTTAAAACATTCTGAAAAAAAAATTTAGGACATTTAAGTGCCTAGGGGCAAAAGAGGACCTACCATGTCAACAAGAGATATGTACAAAAACATTCCAGCAGCAAACCCAAATATGTAGGTGCTGGCCTCAAATTCACCAAGAACAATTCCAACAATAAGACCAAGGTAACATGTGCAGGCAGACAGAAAATTGTACAATAATGCTTGACGAATTGACATGCCTGCATTGAGCAACACTGCAAAATCACCTACAAAGTAAAATCATAATATTGATTAGGTATATTTATGATTGTGGGCATTATTTTACAGATATTGAACTAATTAAAAAAAAAAGATGGGCACTTTACCTAGTTCATGAGGAAATTCTTCACATACAACAGCAACACTAATACTAATACCAGTAAGAATACTTTCATTGAAAGCAGCGCCAATAGACAATCCGTCAATAAAATTATGAAGTCCATCGCCAAAAATTACCATCCACGCAACAGTGGCAATGGCACTGTCTTTGTTGCTATCAAAAGTAATGGTATGACTGTGGTTGTTGCTAGGATGAGGTCTCTGGAGATAAAATCAGAATGATTAGTAAATTTGCAAAAGTCAAACCACTATGGGACTGACATTGGTCGATTTCAAATACCTCTGCATGACCAAAAGATGCCTTAATAACTTGTTCCTGACAATCATAAATGGTACTGGCATCATGCATACAGCTGTCTGAATTAACCTCATCCTGCCTGTGGGCAGGTAAAAGACAAACACTAGGTTGGCTTGGGCTTGAAATGGAAGAAACTGTATTGTGGACTTTATCCTTTTTCTGCTTTGCCTGAAAATTCCAATACTAGAATGCAAACTGTCCTCCAAAAAGTGAAAAACAAAACTATAACAAAACACTGGGAAAATACCTCTCGACTATCATGGATTATCTTCAGGATTCGTTCCACCATGAAGAAGACCCAAATACCACCCCAAACATAGAGACAAATCGATAAGTATTTATGATGTACGTCATTATCCATCAAACTGAAGGCCTGCAAAAATAGATATATTTGGTTATCTTAACAGAACTACTCAGGGTCACATCAAAATGATGTATTGAAAAAAAAAAAGGTCAGTCTAATTGACTGCCTAAAAAACCTATCCTACTTGAGGTATTAGGTGGAAGAGAGAACTCGCGGACAGAGAACCAACAGCAAGACCAATGAGCACAGTTAGTAGTTGTTTGTAAAATGATTTATCCATAAGGGGCATAACGCTGACACCCAGAAGTGAGCAAAGTGATATAACTGTCACAAACAGTATGCCCATTCCCCAAACTGTAAAAAATGATGAAACAGTTCAGAAAACTATGACAATGAGATAATGATGGATAAAGAAATTAAAAACGTACCTTGTCCTGGTGCAGGCCTGCTCTTTTGGTCAGACAGAGTGCCAACACCGTAAGATTTTCCATCATAACAATGAGCTGTAGCAAGTCTCTCCAAAATAACACTGCTATTGAGTTGTGACAAGGAACTCCCACTAGCATAATTTAACCCTTTAAAGAGTTCTTCTGGAGTCAAGCATTGCTATAATAATAATTTAAAACAGAATTGAAATGAAGTAAATAAAATCAAACAATTTAATACTTAAAAGTTAACACCAGCAACACACTTCTTTTCTTGATGACGTTTGAATGGAAGAACAATTACTAAGATGATCCAGAAAATTCTGCAATATGGTTGGTGGAATGACCTCTCCTTTGCCAAAATTTAGCAGACATAATGTCAACAAAAATATTTTCAGAACTGCCATCATCTGTAAAAAATACAAAGCTAACAGGTAGATTCTTAGGGAAAAGTGATAAAATTATGAGAAATCCAACAAGGAAAATTACAAGACTGAAGTGAATGACAGTAAGTGGTTTGTTTGTTGCCTGATGTGGAACCAACTAGATAGCTATGTCATCATTTTACAAACGCTGACATAAACATAAGTAAATCGGTGACTTGGTTCCGACTTTGTCAGCAAATACAGGAGAGGGAAGAGGCCCATGTAGAGATAGAAACGTTGGGATGGCAGGCAACTGCCAACGTACTTAAAAAAAGTGTTCATCTAGTATCATCAGGAAAGTTATTCTGGGAAACACGAACTGTTCCGAAGAGGGTCAAAAAGGATTGAGACCAAACAAAGATTTCAAATTTACAAGGTACAATAGAAGCCGATTCAGTGCCAAACTCTGGGCACAAGTCTGTTACAAAAGGGGTGTATCAGTATTGCGGAATTAATTGTGATTCTATAGTAACGAAACGTGAAGGTTAGGATCGACTGTGAGAGCTTCTTAAGCACTTCTCAAACAAGCCGAAGCCCAGCCTACCCATAACATTCCACAGCATCAATTGGGCCTGATTGAACTTTGTGACCTTGGAAAGACCGCTGCTTTTTCAGAAGAAGTTGCCATTCTGGTTTTCTTTGCTTCCGATCAATTAACCTCTTATCGATGTGACAGGACACCGAAAATCAAGGTCTGTTGACAGACAACGAGGGGACGTCAAGTGACTTCAGTTAAATCAAGACGTTACAGTCGTTCTCACTCTCACCCAAAATTCCTAAACAACGTGACCATCACAAGGATACAGGTAAAATCTTTCAAGTCTTTCTTTTGGTTTGTTTACCACCGATCAAAACACCCTGACGCATGGGGTATACACCAAGGAGCGCTGCAAGTATGAGAAAATTTGCGACGACCGCTGCCGCAGGAGTCCTTCATAAAAAATATGTGTGTAAAAAGTGGATTGGAATGTGGTAGAAAGACGATAAGAGTAAAAGCATGTAGAAGTGAACTGAAAACCATTTAACCCAAAAGTGTAATATAATGTAAAGGTCTTTATTATACATTATTTAATAATTTACACGCAATGTGAATAGTTTTACACACAGTTTCAATCAAAGCAATAAAACATTGTGAATAGCAAGTCAAAATTCAAAATCATCCACATATACAGCTAACAATATGACTGGAAAATACATGTAGCAAAGACAAAATTGATCAGATGGCAAAACACTTAATTTTCACACAAGTGACTATAAAAACAATACTGCCCTCAGATCAGATCACAGTCCAATACATGGCCCATTCACCCATAATGTGCAATTATGCACAACTTGGCTTCACATTAAAAGAATGACAAAGTGTCACCACATTTAAACATTTCTGACCTTAAAGATAAAGAAACATTTTAAGGTAATTTAATTTTGATTCCATCCTCTATAATGACAACTTCAATCTTCAGTTCATTGTTTTGAGTTTAATTTGCAAACAGGCAATTTTGGATACTGCAGTAAAGTTTTAACAACAGATTTTAAAGATTGATTTTAGTGCTGGAACTCTCAAAGAAAAATATTATCACAGAAAGTGATTGAAGTTCTTGCAGAACATTGAGTAACTACCTACGTTCTAAAATTGGACACATTTGCCACGTTCAACACAAGATACGTATCTGTTTGTTATAAGGATACAAATTAATTTGTAGATTTAAAAGAATATTCTTAAGTGTGTGCAACATAACACATGACCATCAAATTTTGTGATTCAAAATTGAAAACAAGTGTTCTTTCATTTTCCACCTCCAGCTTGGCTCTGAAAAAAATAATATGCATCAGACATACATAAAAAAAATAAAAATAAAGGAAAATAAATAGATTACAAAGTACAGGAGGTTACCTTCTGAAGTTTTTCTTTGTAATGCTTGGTGTAGTAACGAATATAAGCAGCTTGCTCTTGAGGATTCTTTGCATAAGCAGAGGCACAATACTGAGCTAGTGTAGGAATGTCCTTTTCTGTATAATTTCCCTCAAGCATGGAACGAATACTAGCAGTCGTCACATTAACTGGTTTGGCAGCAGGAGCAGGAGCAGGAGCTGTCACTGTAGCTGCTGCAGTTCTTGATACTACAGGAATGTTGTTGGATGGTAAGGCTGATTGCAGAGTGGGAGGAATGACAGGAGGCAAAGCAGACACCAAAGGTACGTTGGAAAGTATTTGGCTTCCTAGTGCATGGGTGTTCATTGGCGGTAACTTGTCCAATTGGCAGTATGCAACTGAAACTGTGAAAGCAAGGAATCAGAGTGTAAATTGCATAAAGTGACTAGACAAATTCTACTGGGATGTTACACGAAGCAAATGAATTACATACCTTGACAGTTATCAATTATGAGAGGCTCATTTACCAGTGACTTATGGAGTGTCATTGAATCAGTAACACTTGTTAGTTGAACGAAGCAAACAGAGCGAGGGCGACCCTTCGCATCTGTACCCATCCTCACACCATCTAATCTTGCATGAGCAATCATTCTAGATTTCAATGCCTTGGAAATCTCAACTATACTTGTTACAGGATTCAACCCTCGTAACAGAAGGGCTGTAAAAGAAAACACATTTACAATAAACATGCCATTAATTGATTATTTTTTAAGAATGCAAAGAAAATTTACCATTTGTAGGGTAGGGACATGTTTCTTCCCAACCATCCAAACAATCCTCTTTTGTACGGTTACACTGATAACACGCAGTTCTGTTTTTGAAGTTTACTATAAGACACTGGATTTGAAAAAATAAAAATAAATAAGTTAGAAGTGTTTAAAATACATACACAAGAGAGCTATGAGATAAATGCTAAGTGCAACAGTTATTCCAGTGAAGTTTTGTTTTCACTTACTCTAACACACTCCCAGTCTTTTAAGATAGGATTGCTGTACTCCATTACAGCATGATTGTTAGGGCGTAGATTTAGAACACACTGGAAATATTGTAAAAGATACACATATATGTATTTAATATTAAAATGTGTGACAGAAAGTAAGCTTGATACAGAATGAAAAATCTTACCCGTCTTAGTTCCATCCAACGTGTGGCTTCATCAACTGAGTTAAAAGTAATAAATGCAAGGCCTCGAGACACACCTAAAAAAACTTAGTATCAGAACAAACAGTTGATCATCTTGTGCCAGACAAGAATGGAATAAATAAAAGAAATACCTGTATCATTAGCGTGCACCACACGAACATCTTTAGCCCACAACCCACAGTTGCTGACATCTGTACGTATATCCATTTCAGTGACATCTCTGGCAAGTCCGCGTACAAATATCACCTCTTTGGGAGATTGAAGATGTTTGGTAAATGTAGTTTGGTTCCTGGAATCCTTTCCAGGAGTGCTGGGTCTACAAGAGAAGAAATACAGGAATTAGAAACGGACTAACCTAAACACAAGGCTGAGAACTTCCTCTTAATCCTTGTGAATTGCAGACTTGTAGCAAAGATGCGATGACATTTGCTGCATGTTCTCATCTACATGCCCTGTAATTGCATAGTGGGCTTCATGCTCGGCGGATTTAAGTTAAACAAAGTCATAGCTTCACTAAGAAGAAATATTTAATAGTGTGGATGAATATTCCCTCCTTTTTTTTCTTTCTCTCGTTAAGATTTTTGAGAGCAAAGCCAACATCCTTTCTTCATCAGGAACAATATCCCAAAACCTGGTTTATTGCTTCTGGATCAGCACATTTGAAATAGTGCAGACCTAGAGCTGCTGGCAGGCACCCTTACAACATAAGTAATAAAGATGATTCTGTAGCTCCTGTCAAGTTACTTTACACATGAGAGGGAACATGCACAACCTTTCATCTCTTACAAGTTGACGCCCAAAAGGAATACTTTTCACAGAACACAGCAATGACATAACTTACAGGTCAGACCGAGGCTTGTTCCATTGAGATTGGGACTCGCCAAGGGAGGGAAGATTTCTTCTCCAAAAGTCGCCATCAGCTTTCCCATTTGATGTTGATTGATGAATGGTTGTTGCACTTTGAGTAGAATATGGAGCTGATTTGTGACCATCACGGTGATCAGAGGACTTATCTCTTCTGCTCGGACTTCCCCAACGAGATCGGCGTCTATCCTCTTCTTGCTGGTTGAAAGTTTGTCTGTTATCTTGGTTCTGCCAGTTCATAGGTGTATCTTTTATTTGATGATGCACTGTGCTTGATAATCGTGCTTGATTTCCATGAAGATGGGCATCTGTCTTGCCTTGAATTCTCTCTCCACGGTTCGGTTGACTTCTTGAATGTTGATTGTGAGATGAGCTGTCTCTTGGTCTTCTGCTTTCGTCTAGGAAAGGAAGGCCAACTATGGTCTGGGCATTTCTTCTCTCTTGGAAGTCTCTTATATTTTCCCACTCTCTTGAATCTTCCTGACCACCACTAAGCTTCCTTTGTTGCCCAACACTATCCTTTCCCTGCCCCTGCTTCAGTAAGTACTCTTCTCTTCTGTCATACTTTTCCACCTTACCACTCTCTCTAACATACCTTTGCTTAAATTCTTCCACCAACATCTGAGGTGTCTTCTTGATAACTTTATCCTGATTGCGGCGATCAGGGCTTCTTAGTATTCCTCTTCCCCTGTCTTTATTTGTAGTGTCTTCATTTTCCCTCTTACGGTTCTTTTCTATCTTTGCAACAGATTCTTTTTCTAGATCCCTGGGTCTGTTCAAAGGTCCATCTTGATCTCTTCTTCTGATCAGATCTTGAGTCTGGTCTCTTCTTTCTGGCTCTTTGGCTCTCAAAGCCCCTCTGTCCCTCTGTTCTCTTATACGTCCCTCAGTCTCTCTGCCTCTACTATCATCTCTTGAATGCCCAGGTTGAAGACCTGGTCTACCTCTACTCCTGGATCTCTCTCTTGCAGGACTTTTGGCTCCATCCCAACCAGGTTCCCTGTAACTTTCAGCACTTGGTGTTCGTGGACCCCCCCAATTAGGGCTTCTTATCCTCTCTCTCCCTAAGTTAGCCCCAGTATCTATCCTAGGACTCCTATCACGACTATTGCCTGAATCCCAACGAGAAACTCTACCTAGTTCTTGCTCAATACTCCTTTTATTTTCCTTGACAAATTTCTTGTTTCTTTCTTGGTTGAAGTTCTTGTTTCTTTCTTCATCAAAAGCCATGTTTCTTTCTTGGTTGAAGTTCCTGTTTCTTTCTTGATTGAAGTTTCGGCTTCTTTCTTGATCAAAGTTCCTGTCCCTTTCTTGGTTGAAATGCCTGCTTCTTTCCTGCTCAAAGTTCCTAATCGCTTCTTGACCAATTTCCCTGTTCATGACCCTATTTGAACTCCAATTGCTATCTTGATGTGGACTTCTCTTCCTATCCCTTTCCCTCCCTACACCTCTCTCCTGATTCCGCTCCTGACTAAGAATCCTCCCCCTTTCTGCACTGATACTTCTTCTATTTTGACGCCCTTCTTGGCTTCCTCTCCTAAATCTCCTGTCATGGCTTCGGCTTCTATCTCTGCCTATTGTTCTCACAGCATCCTGACTAATGCTTCGGTGTTGCCGACTGGTTCCATCACGTTCAATGCTTCTTTCCCTTTCCCTTCTTCCCTGATCCAGGAGAGGACTTCTTAGTTGTCTTCTATCACCACCAGGAGATGGAACATCACTTAAATCTGGAGGAAATGGTCTTCTTCCAGGCCCCTCTTCATTTATCCTTCTTACATCTCTTTCAAAGCTTCCTCTTCTTCCTCTTTCAATGTTGATTCCTCGGCTCCGAGACGATACACTTCCAAAACTTCTTTCACGCTCCCAGCTTGGACCTCTCAACCTTACTCCACGATCAAAGCTATTACCTCTACTCTCCCTGAAATTTCTTCCTGATGGACTTCTCACTCTTTCTCTGCTGCGATTGCGAGAAAGATCCCGACTTCTGGACCTTGGACTTAGATGAGTTGAAATTTCTCGTGTTGAAGCTCTCTGGTCCGGGCCCTCTTTATGTTGTTGATTCCTTCTCCAGTTCTCTGCTCTCCTGTTACGCGCGGCCCAACCTTCAGCTTGGCCAAAGCTTCTTTCTCTCGACCTACTTCTTTGCCATCTTCTTTGGTGCCAATCATCTTGGTCACGTATAACCACATCGCGATGATGCGATCCACCACGAGGACTGATTCCACCAACATCTGGGACTTCCTCAAACTCATATCTGTCATTAACATTAAAATCTTCAACGGGAAACTCTCTCTCGGAAATATCATGTACCTCACTATGAGCTTCGTCAAAGTACTCATTTTGGATATGAATATCCTCCTGAAGGTCAATATCTTCAATGATATCATCTGCATATTCATCCATTAAACTTATGTCTGGAGGCTCATCAATGAGAGCTCGAAGGTCCCCAACGCAATGGTCCCTTGACTCAATGATTTCACGAAGATCACCAAGGTCTGGATCCTTTTTTGATAATTTCTCACGCAGATCACTCTCAGATTGATCTGGAATGTGCCTTTTCCTTCTATTTAAAACTTCTCTGCAGTCAACTAATTCATCTGGTTGGGGTTTGAATTTGTTGCCTTGAGTCCACCTGTCCCGCCCTGCCCCATGATATCCTCTTGAGCCTCTACCTCTTGAAAATTTGGAGAAATTTTTTCTTCCTGCAATCATTTCAGTGTCAAATTCTTCAGGTGCAGCAAACCTTTTCCCATCTTGAATTTTAACTTTTAAGTTTGTCATTTCAACACCTGGATCCATATCTAGCATTTCTTCTTCTTCTGGGGCTATCTGCCTTCTTCCAGATTTTCGGTTACTTTCAGTAAAATTGTCAGGTCCAGAAGTCCTATCCCATTTGTTAAAGCGATGCTGACCCCGGGACTGATTACGTCCTCTCCATTTTTGGTAATGAGCTCTTCCTTGAGACATTGGGAACTTTGATCTGCCTTTCCCAATTTCATCAATGTCTTCCCATTCATGCTCCCATTCTTCATCATATTCTTCTTCATTCAGCTCAGAAACATCAGCTGATCTCTCCTGTCTTCTTGTTTCACTCCTGAAAACAAGATAAAGCATTCATTAGATTAGAATTAAAAGGAGAGTATACAATGTTATAATTGATGGAAATGTAGCTACCTACCTGGCATCGCCTTCCTTCCGCGAGTGACGTTCCCTTGAACTGGAACGCTCTCTTCTCAACTTACCAGCTGCAAAACAGAATACAAACAAGTTCAGCACAAAGCAGCTCTCACCCACATTAGTCCAACAGAGGAACAAATGTGGGTTAAGCAATGAAGTGGGACCACACAAAGGGTAGTAAAGGCATTCACTAATGAAATTGCAGGTTTTTCTTCACGTGCACGTGAAATAACGATGTTCGGGAGAAAAGCTACACCTAACTAAAGGCTGCAGATTGCTGCTTGGGAAAGGAGCTGCTTGGGGATTCAATAATAACGCCCAAATGGGCAAAATATACCTAAAAATAACACTTCTGTAAAAAACAAATAAAGAACATTGCTCCGAACACAACGACACAACACACATGAAAAGATGCCGGTTAAGCTGTAGAGACAAAACAAAATGTACAAAAAGTATTGAGGTTAAGTCCCATGGTAAATCTTGGTTCAAAGCAAAAATTCATACTGCAGAGAACACAAACGACGCTCTATCTAACGTTACATTAGTAAAGTAGTCAGGTTAAGGTACGCAGTACCCATAATTTAAGTATAATGACGAATTAAAAAAGACACACAGCTTACACGACATCGGGATGACTCTTGCTTTCGGCTAACAGGCGAAAATCTTCACTCCAATAGCTGCATTCTCTTCAGCGTAGAAGCACAGTAGTTTTGCACGAAAATCTTCAAAACGCAGAGTAAGAGTAACGCCTCGATAAGCAAATATGCAAACAACACTAAAGAATCAACACAGAAGAAAACGTAATCGATCTCGTCTGCGGCCTGTGTTGTAGACGTTGTAGACGTGGGAGGGGGAGGGGGTGTGAAGGGTGGGTGCAAGGGTTATGTGGTGACGTCACATAGTGTTTCCGCTTTCCGCCGCTTCCGCTACCCTTGGTTTTCGGGGCGCTGGTTTCAAACTCACTTCAAATGTGTAAAGGTTTACTTATGTTTAGTTCTATATTCATTTGAAGGTGTTTTTTTGAGGGTTTAAGAGGTCATATCGTGCTTCAAACATAGTTCGGAAAACCCATGTATGTAGTTTTCTTTGTTGAATTTAGCCAAACCCGAACTGTCAAACAGCGGGGAAGCAGACGAAAACATAATCAGAAGGCAACGACAACTTAGGCCAAAGTATGACAAATTACTTCACATTCGTTTTTCTCCCACCTCTTGTAAAATTTTATCGATGTAGAAATAAGTATTTAAATGTTCATTTCATGTAGCTGCGGTGCACTTGTCTCTACAGAGACAGTCATGTTTCGCTAAAACTAGACATAAAGGCCAGCTTTTGAAACTTTCAAACATTACGTTAGTGTTCTCATACTATGCCGGGGGGAGGGGGAGGGGGAATCCTAAAATCTGTTGTACGTTGTACGGCCCCAGAAACTAGCCTCTATTTTCCTGTTTGTTCTACAAATTTCCTCTATTTTCCTTTTATCAGCAGCTGTACTTGTCATAATTGTTGATTTTATTTATCGTAGTTCGACAACTGGTTTCTGTCGTCCTCCCTTACTATAAATTTGGATCGTCTCAATCAAATTTTAGGATAGACAATATCTGATTTTTGTGACGGGTTGTCTGACAACTTACGCGGCGTGTATGAATCATTTTAGTTCCTAATGGTGTGATGGTCCTGAATCTTTCCTCGTTACATCACCATCCTCATAAAAATGACGTCCTGTAAAAATTTACAATGTCTCTGGAGACTTGTTATTCTCTTTGCTCTCTTTGACAATGTGCTGTCTGAGGGAAATGGGAAATGGACATACGAGTTAAGCAATGTGAGTATTCTCAAACTTTGGTCTTAGTTAATTATATGGAAAGTATTGTTTCACTCACATTAATATACCGTTCACGTTGTCATTTGAAAATGATTCCTAACATATCGTCCACATCAGGATTTAGTTGGTTTTGAACCAACAAGCGAGGCATTTCTGTACCCGCAAGTAACTACTAAATGTTAACTCACATCATTCCACTGTTTTTGTTTTTAGGATAACGAATTTGTGACAGTTTCTAAAAGTCTTTACAGAGGTTCACAAATCTTCATAGTTGGTGAGTTTAACTGTTCAAAAAAAATATTTTTATACTGTATTTATTTTTTGTGATTCTCTTGTTTTTTGTCTTATTCTGTGTAGTTTTTCAATATAACATGGTTTGATATTTGTGTGTTCTAGTGTCATGTGATAATCCTGAACTCAATGTTACTGTTCAGTGGACATTGACTCAATTTCCATGCTGGCAAGACTTTGCCTCGGTTCCAGATGGGGTAAGTGGTACCTACTGGAATTACATTTTACTACATGAGATATTTCTATGCTTGATTCAACTCACACACCTCTTTATTTACAGTTGTATCAACTCCCAACAGGATTGTCAAACTATACTCTGAGCAGTCCGGCCACCCAACATCAATGTATTGACCATGTTATTCTGGTAAAAAAAAACAAAAAATGACCTAAAACCTGTTTACTGATTGTTATCCGTTTTGAATTTTTACAAAAGTATTTTACACATTGCACCTCCTCTAAGTTTTCTTAATTCCTATTTCTTTTTTCAGATGGGTCTAAATGTGCCTACAACTACTCCTCTACCTGACAAGGTTGCTGTGACTCCTGAAGAAACTGGTGCAAAACAAAGCGTTAAGGACACAATCAACCCTCATAAGCTTGTGAGTCACTTTTTCAATCTTACTTCACAAATCACTCTTTGTGAATTTTTTCTTAAAGTAATTGCTCATTTTCTATTTCAGAATAATCCAACTCCAATTCATACCATTGAAAAAGATGGACTTTACTCACTAGTTTTTCACATTTATCCAACAGACGGAAAGGGAATGTTCAAAGCACCTATCACAATTGAAATGCAGAGTCATTATGGATATCTGTCTGCTACAGCTTGGCCTTTGCTGCCTTTTTATGGTATAATGTGTCTTTTGTATGTCTTATTTGGTCTAGGCTGGCTCACGGTGTCTTTTTGCCAATGGAGAGATCTTTTGAGAATTCAGTTTTGGATTGGTGGAGTGATATTACTTGGCATGCTGGAGAAAGCTGTCTTTTATGCTGAATATCAAAGCATCAATTCAAGAGGGACTTCTGTTCAAGGAGCTGTTCTTTTTGCTGAACTTGTGTCATGTGCCAAAAGAACCCTTGCTCGCATGTTAGTAATAATTGTAAGCCTTGGCTTTGGAATTGTTAAGCCAAGACTGGGAGCTATGCTTCATAGAGTTGTGAGCTCTGGAATTTTGTATTTTGTTCTTGCTTCTGTTGAGAGTTATAAGCGAATCATGGGTACAAATGTGAAAAGCTATGATCTCCTCATGGCAAGTGTTCCACTTGCTCTTCTTGACTCTGCATTTTGTTGGTGGATTTTCTCCAACCTAGTTCAAACTATGAGAACTCTTCGACTCCGCAGGTAAATCTTGAAATTATGTCCAGCAAGGAAATCATGGAAATGTTATTATCTATGTTTTCCTAACTCTAAATTTTTTTTCCACAGAAATCTGGTGAAGCTTTCATTATATCGTCACTTCAGTAATGCACTTTACTTCTCGGTTCTTGCATCCTGCTGCTTTATGTTGTATTCCATTAGATTTCATCATCTCAATAATTGTCTCTCGGTATAGTCTATTATCTACTTGTTTTCACAAATCTGAAATCTCTTATGATCCACTCTTGATTTAAAACTATTTTTTAATCTGTTTTTATTTTAGGATTGGAAGGAGTTATGGGTTGATGAAGCGTACTGGCACATCCTCTTTTCTCTTATTCTTCTGGTAATTATGATACTTTGGAGACCAACAAACAACAACCAAAGATATGCCTTTACCCCACTGCTTGATAATCCTGAAGATGAAGATGATGAGGAAGAGCAATTTGTAAGCGATGCTTTTGGATTAAAAATGCGTGGGAGCAACACTTCCACTTCCCCCAAACTTAAGTCAAGCACCACAGAGGTTGGTGTTACCACTGAAAGACGTTTTATTAACGACAGATGTACTTTCAATTTCTCTATCATTGTATGATTGATAATTTTTTCTGCAGGAGGAAGATTTAAAGTGGGTTGAGGACAATATTCCAGCATATCTTAGTGATTCGTGAGTTGAAAAAAAAAAATGCGTTGCATACCATTGTTCTCATGTCTTTAAGTTCAGATTAAAATCCATTTAATGTTCTCTTTTGCAGTGCTTTACCTATTTTGGATTCTGATGAGGTAACATTTGATTGCTTTTACCATGATGTTACAATTGCTGGTTCTAGTAAAAATAAAGGAAACCTTTTTTCTGTTTCTTTAGGAGGCAGCAAATACAAAATTCGAGGTGTCAAAGATGCAGTAATTTGGTATGGTCAACTGTGCTCTTGGTTATGCCATTATTGCTTTTGAGTCATTTCAAGGCTATGTGTAAGTTTCTGGCTGTGTTGTAGTGAACCTTCAAAAGCATTCTCATGCTTAACCTATTTTCGGTAATCATAATTTAAGTAAGGAGACTGGATTTGATTTTAGATTAGTCATTTAAGACGTTTATCAGACCAGGCCAATAAAGGGCTGAAATCAATCCAATCCTTTGCATAATCTAAATAATTACAAAAGTAATTTCTGAAACATCCTTCCATTTGTATTCTTGCACAATTGTAAATGTAGTCTGTTTGTTGAAAAATGTGTATAAACTTTAAGAAATTTTCTCTTTTGATATGATAAGGATTGAAAATGATTTGAGTGTGAGTGGAAAGTTGTATGTGAATAGTTTCTGTATTATATTAGCTTTGTGAGTCAGGTGTGTGAATGTATTACTAAAATTTCTTATCTGTTTAACTGTTAAGTGAAAAAGTGAAACTCCATAATTTGGTAATCTTTGAAAACTTGATAACACTGTTTGCAACACTAGCTCTTTGTGGATTTGATTGACATTATTACCTCATAGGTACCAAAATACATTACATCTTACTGAATCTTTCATTGCATATCATTTTATCTGCCACAAACTCATTATCTTTTAGTAAATTTTCATTTAATCGTACTGAATTTTATGTTTTGAAGTTTTAAGGCTCTAGTACTTAGAAGTGTGCCAAGTAACATAATAGGTATGTTTGGTCTTTCAAAGTTTATTTCAAAGCATAGTATTTCATATTGCAATTCAGCTTAGAAATGTAAAAACATTAGAGAGCTTATCTCTGGCCTAACTGTTTCTAAATACTTGTTTTGAATTGGGGACAAAGTGGATTATATTGAATACGGGATACCGTTAATCTGTATAAAATCATTTCATACTTTCATAGAAATATAAAAGGTATTTTTAACCGAAGCCCTGAGCTTTAGGCTGATCTAGTCCGTATGGTGCCAGCTTAATTGCATTTGCCCTTCCTCTGTGATTTTTATTTGCATTATACTTTAGTTTTTGTTTGACTTAAACTGCATTTGTAATGATTCTCTTTTTAAATTATTAAGCTATTTATGTATGTACAAAGTTTTGTATATTACACATTAGAGAAAATTGTATTTTGTCTTTCCCGCATTGTACCCAAGTCTTATCTCTGCCAACACCCGTGCCGGTCTGTGTCAAGCTTCCTTAGGCGTACGTTGAAGCCACCCTTGATGTAGAGAAAAGTGTTGATGTTGATGTCCAGCTTGTCCTGACGCTCGCAGCCCTTGCCGGGCGACAGCTCGACCGTCCTGAGCAGGGCCGCGAGCACGGCCTTCATCTGCAGCATGGCGTAGCGCTGCCCGATGCAGTTCCTGGGCCCCGCGCTGAAGGGCACGTAGGCGTAGGGGTGCCGGCCCGCGCACTGCTCGGGCAGGAAGCGGTCCGGGTCGAAACGCTCGGGCTCCGGCCAGTGGCGGGGGTCGCGGTGCGTCTGGTACACGAAGAAGGTGATGCCGAGGCCCGCGGGCAGCGTGACGGATCGCGTCCTGTCAACATGAGCAAGGCATGGGGCGCTTAGCAAAGGCCTTAGTACTCCCCCGAACCTCAGCTCGGCCAACGCTTACCCCGTCTTGGTTTTCGCATTGTGTAGGACGTGGTCCTCGCCCAGGGTCCGCGAGAAGATGGCTGTGATGGGGTACAGCCTCAGGACCTCCTTGAGGAAGCGCTCCACGTACTTGAGCCGGTTGAGGCGCTCGAGCGGCTCGAGGCCCTCCACCGCGTCCACGGCGAGCACCTCCTCGCGGGCCAGGCGCTGCGCCTCCGGGTGGAGCGCGAGGCACACGGCCGCGAAGCTGAGCGTCGACGCGGACGTCTGCTGCACGGCGATGAGGGTGCGCACTTCCTCGAGCACTTCCTGGTCGGACAGGGCGTCCGTGTCCTGCCCCAGCACCAGGTCGAGGAACGTTAGCTTTTTGCGGATGCCGATGTCATCCTTGTCGTCGTCGTTCTCCTGCTCAGCCCCAGAATCGAGCTGGTTGCGCTTACGCTCGACTGTAAAAACCGGAAATTTTCCGTCAAAGAGTTGTCGGCAGCAGCTGCCCCGGTAAACGCCACAGTCTCCACGGCGAGCTCACTGATCTGGCGCCGCTTCTTGTCGATGACGCGGCTCGCGTACTGGTTGATGACCTTGTCGGCCTGCCGCTGCTGCGCGGCGTACGGCGACAGGCGGAACAGGGACTCCACCATCAGCCACGGCTGGATCACCCGACCGGCGATGATCTGGACGCGCAGTATGAGTCAATAAGTGTTCCTCCAACAAGAACATGGAAATTAACCGAGGGAATTAAATGCGACACGGTGATAGACCCGGGTGGGTGCAGCCGACCCCCAAGACCGATTCCAGAGGTGGTGCACCGCGGAGACAGTCGGTGGCGATAAGGAGGAAGCCAGGTGAGGAGACCCCCTGTGAGGTAGGCAGTGCCGCGACACTTCCATGTCTCGTGGCGTTGCCTACCCTGCCGTCGTCGGGCGCTCTGCCTCACGCGCACCACGCGCACCCACCCCACTCTGCAGTGCACTGCTCACCTGGAAGGCGCGGTCCGTGGCCTGGATGAAGTCCGCCTTCTCCTTGCCCTCGAGGTCCTCGTCGCCGCCGACCAGGCCGAATGCCGTCTCCATGACGGTGTCCGTGACGAAGGCGCCGATGTGCGGCATGAAGTCGAAGCTCCGGCCCTCGGCCTCCACCGAGGCCAGGCCCTTGGCGAAGGCCTCGGCGCGGCGCGTGAAGATCCCCGAGTAGCGCTCCAGCACGGCAAAGTGGAAGGCGGGCGTGAGCACGCGGCGGTGTCGGCGCCAGGCGTCGCCGTTGATCGTAATGAGCCCCCTGCACAATGACCGTCAGGATAGAGGCGTCGCCGTGAGGTGCTCCAAAGCGAGGGGCCCTTTACTATGCAAACTCAAGCATGCACAGATTTTTCTGTGCATGCTTGATTTGTTTCTGGTTTTTGCTTGATTTTCTCTTTTTTCTGTCTTTCTTTTTCATTTTTCCTCTTTTTCTCTGATTTTCTCTTGCTTTTTTCTGATTTTTTTAAAAGGGTGTACGTACACAATGCACTGATTATTTTTTTTAGTGAAGTATCCCTCGACTTCAAGTACGGACCGGGAGACTTCGAACTGCGACCCCGCCTGTCCCCACTCACCTGCCGAAAAAGCCGCTGACGGGGCCGTACACGATGTCGGGCTTGTGCAGGTGCTTGCTGGAGCTGAGGAGGCCCTCGACGTCCTCGGGCCGGATGATGTGCAGCCAGGGCCGCTCGCCCAGCCAGAAGGTGATGTACTCGTTGCCGTAGCCCTCCATGAGCCGCAGCCCGCGCCGCAGCACCGTGGACATGGGCCCCACGATGTAGAGCAGGGTGCCGAGGAGCGGCAGCGAGACGCGGGGCCCCGGGAAGGGGCTGAGCGCGCGGTGCCAGTACAGGCGCCAGCGCACGTAGCGCGCCAGGGCGAGCGCCAGCCAGACGGCCAGCGAGCAGGCCGCGCAGCCCCACAGCGCCTCCGAGACCAGCCCCATGGTGGTAGGTAGGTGGGCTCCGAGTGTCCGCTCGCGGCTGCTGCGGGGGTCCGCGGTCCGCACTACTGTCCCGGCCTGTGCGGGACGGGGCGGTCACTCACTATCAGCTGAGTCTGCAGTTGGCGTTGGCAATGTGAGTGATGTGAGCGAGTGCTTCCTCGTGCCCCCCCCCCTCTCTCTCTCTCTCTTTCTCTCACCCGCCCACTCACTAGCCTCAAGATCGAACTGGCGGCTATCTCAGCGCTACCGTCGATTCAGTACGTATTGTAGCTCTACATCCACAAGAAAAAGACTTGACTCCGCCGGAACCGCGCACTGGTGGTGTTGCACACTGTCGCCCCCTCCCCACCCTTTCTCCATGTTCCAATTCGTTTTCTTTTCATCTTGATAGATGGTCGGTTTTGTCTTAGCTGGAAAGTACACCCCGCATAATCGAGTGCGTGTTGTACGCGTGCTCTGTCCACTGTGCGCCATCGACCTTCCACAGCACAAAGGTTGCACGCTATCGACAGATGGACGATCCGTAAAATGCCATGGCCCCTTGTGGTCCAAGAGGGTATGCAAACAAATCCGCAACCAGTGA